TTCTTTGGTAATCGGCTTCCTTTTTTCCCCACAAGTACTGGATTTTAATAACTCCTTAGTAAATGTTTCAATTAAAAAAATCAGTTTTAATGTCAAGCTCTTCGATGCTGCCTTCAAATCCATTATAAACCATTGGAGTTCATATTGTTATATCGACAAAGCTTGTCGAATTGGTGTCTCTTCAATTCATAGCCGAACATCCTGAGTTTGAAAAGGTGTTCGAAATTCCCAGAAAAAAAGGTGGAGTAAAAGACCATACTGTTATGGAGAAGAACATTATGAAAGCCACAGAAGAAATTATATTTCATATTAAAAATGTAGTTTTTGATAATCACACACACAGTCACCAATATGAGAAGACATGGAATGATAAATAAAAAATTAACAATCATGTTTAAATGTAATTGTTGATGTAAACATAAACCAAATATTACATTATATTTTGGTTATAATATTTTTTATATTATTGATAATTGAATATAACTTTTTAATTTAAAACAAGTACTATCATTTTCATTGTGTAACGACATTAAAAAAGACAAATTTTCAATAACTTGTTGTTAATAATGATATGTTAATAATGTTATTTAATATATATTATCGTTTTACTTTATTCTGTCTTTCTATGTACATAAATAACACAATTATTAAAATGACATGACAAATGATTCTGAATAGTGAAATGATAACATGATTTTACAATTACTTTTGAATTATTATTTGATAATTAATAAAAAATGATTTACTTTTATACTCTACATGTTCATTGTATAAATGGGTTTAATAATTAAACATGTATACTTTTTGAGTGTGTAAACATATAATCTCAAACTAAAAAATACATAATTATATCAAAAAAAGAATGTGAGTGGTTATTTTCAAAGACTTGATGTTCGCATTCGTGTGTACTTATTACGTTTAAATAAATTATATTTTTACTAGTTGAAATAATTTACAACCAAGTAAGTTCGTTTATAATTAAAAATTGGATATATGTGTGAACAAAATATAAATGGCAATAATAAACAAATTTGTTTTTTAAATAAACTGTTTTTAAAAAGTCTGTACTGGGGTGTCCCGAAATTTTGCATTTATTTTGTTTATAATTTTTGGGAATCAGTTTTTGTCATAAATTTTGATTATTTTTTCTAAGTAAAAAAAGAAAAAACGTCTTTAAAAAATATTTTTTACTTAAATTTTTTTAGTATTAAATAATTCTATATAAAATTTGAAACAACTGTCATCCTGCAATATTACTCAGAATTAAAAAGAAAATTTGATGGATGCTGATTTGAGCTCGTTTTTAACTTCGATGAAGTTGGATTAGATGAATGGGTTGATTTTAGAACCCGAGTTGTCCACCTGTCAGTCGAATCAATATAAAAAGTTTTAACGAAATCGGCAGAGATGGTTCTAGAACGAGTCTTTTGTGTTGTGGTTGTCTAGATGGGACAAAATGATACCCCTTGTTGTTACCAAAAGACTCACCATTGAAGACAACCTAATTGTGGAACTCAAGAGTCGTGCTATTATTAGATACCAAAAATCAGGTGTTCTAAATACGGAATTATACACATTGTGGCTCAAACAGATGTTTTTCCCGAATATTAAGGAAAAAAGAAACAGAATGGGTGTGAGAGTTGATACGAAGGCGTACCTAATTATTGACTGCTTTTCGGGCCATTTCAGTGATGAAATTGAAGCATAATGGGAAAATTGTGTTGAAATTATAAAGGAAGTCCCCCATAGTTCCCATTTGTGTCAGCCTATGGATCTGGGAATTTTCAAGAAACAAAAAACTTTTTTTGCGGACAAAAACAATTTGATGTTACACAAAATTTCATTGTGTGAAAAAGAAAATGAAAAGTGTGACGAAAAGGTCCAAAGAAACGGGAAAATTCTCAAAATGAACTCACCCGAGTTCAAAAATGCATTGAAAAAATTTGCAAAGCTCTCGGAGGAAGACAAAATTAGGCAGCTTGTTTACTCATGGGAAGTAGTGTCTGATGGTGACACGATGACCAGTGCCTTCAAACAGGCTGGTATAATATACGTTGTTCAACACCCATCAAAAGAAGAGTTGGAAAAAATGAGACATGTCAACCCCAACTTCAACACTGTATACCTTTTTAAAGGTGTTGCAAAAGTTGAATGCTAGAGAGTTTTGCTCTTTTCTTGGTAAGGATCCAAAAAGAAAAGAAACCCAGACTGTTAGAGTCTCCATTGAGAATTTTACTGATAGAGAGCACAGGCTCGGTGTTGAAAAACTTATGAAAATCAAAAAGGATGAAAAGAATAAAATTTCAAATGAAAAAACCTCAAAAAATAACTTGGGTTTTTACTTTTTTAATTTTTTTCAATGAAATTTTTAATTTATTATCAACACTTTTATCGCAATAAAATTTGTAATTATTTGAGTTTTAATAATCAAAAAATGGAGAATGGTATATAAGGAAACTTTTAAAATGTAAATAACGAATTATAACATTTAATGCGAAGTTAAACAGTTTTTGTTAGTTTATTAGACAGCAACATAATGAAGAAAATGATATAAAAGTGATTAATACTAAAGTGACGACAAAAAAAGCAGAATATAAAACACAATCTTGAATATTCAGGATTGTGTTTTATTATATTTTATTAGAGAAAAAATTGTGTTAAACGAAACAGATTTGATCACGTTATTAGTAAAAATGGCCAATTAAAATAGATTTTTTCGTTGTATTAAAAAATAGAAAGGTAACACGTTGAGTAAATTTAATTGAAAAAATTAAAGTAAAAACGTTTTTATAAGGTTTCTTGTAAATAAGGTATATTCTCGAAATCAATAATGTATTCATTTAAAATGTTTTTCTGGAGATACAAATAACAAAACCATAATGTTCAGTTACTTACAAAGCCCACTCTTAAAAATTAAATTGAAATTTACACTTAATATTTCGAGTCAAAGTTCGGTTTTTAAATAAAGCTTATAATTTGTCAAAATGCCAACTTCTCGTATTTTTTTGTCAATTATTTTGACAAACATATTTTGAATTTTTTCATCTCCTTCAACCGATACACAACAAAGTCGTTTTTTATTTTCATGTTCAGTCCAAGCTTTTCCATCAATTTGTCGACATCAATCAGATCATTTACTTTAATATCAACTTTTTAATTTGACATCGAAGAAATTTTCCCCATAAGATATTAAATTTACAGTCTCCAATCGTTAGTACACAAGGGTTTGTCCCTCTTCCAAATATCTTCC